ATTTGCCACAGCTGTTCTGGGGAAAGGTTATCTTTAATAGCACAGAGAGGATAATAAAAATTGTAGGCAATTTCCTGAGATTTTTGAGACCAAGCAGTTTTGACTTATTGAAAACTCACAATGAAATTCTCTGCAGTGAAAGCACTGTATTTTACTTAGTAAAAATACATGCCAACATCCATGACCATGTAAAATATACTTTATTCAGCTTCTTCTGTAAGAAACAAGATTATGAAACAAGTCAGAAGGACTAAATTCAATTTCTAACCATTGTGGATCGGTTCTTTCCTCTCTCTCTCACTCTCTCTCTCTCTATATATATATATATGTATGTATATATATATTAATTATTTTATATATTAATTAATATACATATATTAATTAAAGGACATTTCAATGTACTGTCATGTGCTATATGAGGAGTCTGAGCCAGAGATGGGACTGTACATATGATGGTGATCCTGTAATAGTATATCATCTAATGACATTCTTGTTTGCTTAAGTTTGCTCTTTGATGTTTACTTAACGATGAAGTCACTTACTGTGCATTTCTAGAAACATGTCATCATCATGAAGTGATATGTGGCTGTACTTATGTAGTGAGATCTAAAATTCATACTGACTGTATGCCATTGTAAGATTTTGAAAAACCTTTTGAATGCTGAATTTTATTGAACTGTTAGTCTTTGTTATATTTTAATATTTTACTCTAATGGTGGCTATATGTGACATTGTTACTGTTTTTTTGTCTTCATTTAATCACCTATAAGAAAATATTCACTGCCAAACCTGTTCAAAGACTGTCAAGAAACATAATTTCACTGAGTCATCTGTCATCTTGAGCATGGTTGTAGTTTTCTCTGAGCCAGACGTGAAAGGGTGAATCTTAACATTCATATTTAAAAACAAATAGATTACTTTCCCCCAATCCAAACTTCATTTGTAATTCCTACATTTTAAAAAAAATTTGTAATGGTTGTATTATTTGAATGTTGAATTTTGTAACTTTTTGGGCAATGTACATTTTGTAAAAGATGAGAAGCATTTAATTTCTTCAGTCATTGTTGTTTTGTTTGATCTATGAATTTCATTTATCTGACTGTTATTTCTTTTGTTTGTTTCCTTTTGGTTTTAATAGAACATTCAAATAAAAACTTTGGCAGATGATGTGGTAAGGTGGAGTGAGCAGCATGTTATTGTATTGCTTATGCACGTTACATTTTCACTTAAAAATGGACATTAAAGCATTGATATATGCAGCATATAAAGTGACTGGATGTTTAGAAAATAGAACAGAATAGGATAATTGCCAATAGAGCAATTTCTCCCTTTTCACACATTAACATAAACAGTTGTTGTCAGGCACAGTGGTGCATACCTGTAATTCTAGCACTCCAAAGGCTGAAGGAGGATTATTGCAAGTTGGAGGTCAGCCTGGTGTCCATAAGGAGTTCTAGGTCAGCTAGGGCTAAGTAGTGTCTCACCATTCCTCAATAAAATGAAACAACTGCCCTAAACTTACATAAACAGCTGGGTCATATCCCAGATCAATTATTTCTTTATCTTTGTAACATATACCAAAGCAATATTTTAAAGTTTTGTGCATAAAGGTGGACGCTGGAAAACCTGGACATTTTCTCTTTTGATAGCCAAATAAATTGTGGATATATTAAATACCAATATTGGAGGAAATTGTTTACAATTCAAAAATAAATTAAGTTTATTATCTTAGATATGTGCTTATTGAATTTTAAAAGCTTATATATATTTTCAAGCTCAGACTACAATAGTAATTCTTACTAAAAGTTGTAAGCAAATATTTAAATGTACTCTTTTTACTTAAACTTTCTTGAATAATATTTTAAACAGTTTCATTTTTTTGTCTGTTTGAAGTTACCTATCAACAAAAGATGTAAAATAATGTTACTGCTCTAAGGAGATGAAAGTATACAACTTGACTTCATCTTCTTACCCAAATACAGCTGAAAGACAAAGGCAGTTTTTGCATTAAAGTGAAGGGCACAGAAATAGCAAATCTATATGTTAGTAATGCTGATATTCAGTACAGAAGCTTAGACTGTATAAGTATTCTTCAGTGATATGAAGTGAGTGGCTAACTGCATATTTAAATGCTTTCATGTCCACCATCTCTTTCCGTAAAATTTGACTCAGTTTATTTGGGATTACTAAAATTGTTTTTCTTGAGTTGTGGGAAGGAAGACACTACCTATGTAAACCAACTTAACTGCCCTCAAAGACATACAGTAAAACCCAATAATACAGTTCAAATAATTTTAAAGAAAGAATTGTAATGTGAAAGCTGAGATCAGAACCATGGTCTCTTGTGTTTGAGTCACCTGTTCTGTGAATTGAGGAAGTAGGTTTAGATGCTATTTCATTTTTCTTCCCACCTCCAAACTATTGTGGTTTCTATAATCTCTCTGTAAGCAACCACATACTCAAATAATTTTTGTAATCCTAACTAAGCTGCTTAAAACTGCTGTTTTTCAAAGTACACGTTATGGTTTTACAAAAAACATTGTATCTATCAATAAAATGAAGAATATGTACTCTTAGGGGGGGTCAACAAAATTTTCCATAAACTGTAGTGATGTCTGTAATGTTTTTGTATTCTTAAAGGTTACTTAAATGAAGTGTGGTCATGTGGCAGTGTTCCTCCACTGTCCTCATAGCTAACATGTCTGCTTGCTTAATGTGACTTGATATTGCATGTGCTTCCTAACAGACACCAGAATAAAACTGAGTTGCCTTCAGTTTTATGAATATTACTAATGTTTGATGTCAGATATTTGATGGCTTTTAAACCAAATATCCTCTTGACTTGCAAGCAAAGTCCTTGACTTACTTGATACGAAAGAGCAAGCTAATTGTTAGAGATTGTACATGGTATCAGTGGTTTAAAGGAAATACCCACACATCAGAATAGTATTTGGAGGAGGAAGGTATTTCTGTTTTCGTTTCCAACAAATGCAGAAACAGCCACCACAAAATTTTGATCCAAAGTGTCTCTTCACTTCCTTCCTTGTAAAACAGAAATGACAAGTGACTAAATTTTACTTTTGAGGCATGTTTTTTCTCCCCCAGCTTTCTGAAGCTTAGGAATGACTTCAGGGTTGCAAAAACAGTCCAATCTCTAACTGGAGCTTGCTGCTTACAATAATGTTTTGTCAAAAGAGAATAACAATAGATAACATACTAAGTGCCATTTTGATGCTTCCATTCTTAATGTGCCTGGCTCCTGATCTTTTTCTGAGGGCTTTTTATTTTTCTGTTTGTAGCGTGATCGAATTACAAGTTTCAGAAAATCTACTGTCAAAAAAGAAAAACCTTTTATTCAACATCCTATTGATTCTCAAGTCTCGATGAGTGAGTTTCCAGTGGCTCAGCCATTATATGATGAACGATCTCTGAATTTGTCTGAAAAGGAAGTTCTGGACCTTTTTGAGAAAATGATGGTGAGTTCGACCTCTAATTTCATTGTCATTTTAAACTGTGTATGTCTAGAATAGATTTTAAATAGGGATGTTTGTAGTTGACTGTTTATGTCATATAAAAGACAGATCCAACTCTTGTTAAAAAAACAAAAGTATTTCCAAGAGTACCTGGATTTGTTTGTTTATTTATTTGCTAGAATGCCTATCTGTTCTAGTCAGAGTGCCTAAAATCAGACACGGGTTTATTCCTCTTTGTCTTGTAGTATTTTGTGGTTTGTGGCACACCAAATCAATTTTTCAATTAAATAATCTGTGTGTTTGCTGGTCCAAAGCAACATGTGTCCAAGTCTACATGATCTGTTGAGTAGATGAAATATAGTTGGGAAGGCAGAGTGTAAAATAAACAACAAAATGGTAATTGGAGCCAAGGAATTAATTCATTCTATTTTCTCATATCAGCAAGAGTCATACAACTTACAGTTTGTAGGGTGTTTCTTAATTTTTTCTTTGTGTGTGTGTCCTCTATTATTTCTAAAATAATAAATGTAATACTTGGATTATTCAATACTTTATGTCTGGAGCAGGGATAAATGAAGTATTGGGCTATCTCACATTGGTTAGCTTGACCAGATCTCTTTTAGAGATACCAAACATTCTCATCTCCCACATCAACATACATTTTATATAAAGACTACAATAACATTTGTAGCATCCCTTCCTTTGTCAAACAAACCCTAGTCTATCTTGTATTATTAATATTTCTCAGTCACTCAATTGTTCCTGTTTCCGATTCCAGTGTCCCGTCTTAATTACCAGAAATGTTAGAACCCTTCTGGTATTTCTCTGCTTAATTGATGAAATAAAATAGAAGGATGAGAATGAAATTTTCTTGGGCCTCTACTACCACATGTACCTTGCTTTTAGACTCTGGACTAATTGCTTTGCTTCTTGTTACCATGGATGAAATTTTCATGTCCAATTCTTTATTATTATTATTATTATTATTATTATTATTATTATTATTTGCTGTATCTGGTTTGCAATAGAATTCCTCCATAGGGAATGGGCTCCCAAAGACCATTTGTGCTCTAGGGTTAAAGACTAGCTCCAGTGTTAGAGGTCCCATAGACTGTCTTGGCCTCCTAGCTGGCACCCACATTCAGAGGGTTTGGCTTGGTCCAGTGCTGTCTCCCCACCTTTATGACTAGGGTCTCCATGCTTTCACTAGGTCAGGTCAACTGTTTCTGCGAGTTTCTGCAGCAACGTCTTGGCTCCTTTCATGTCCGATTCTTATATGTGTGTATACATGGAGTTGCCATTCTTTTTTTACCTACTTAGATCTTTCCCCCCTTCCATTTTATTCGGTGTATAGCTACTGTTTTGCCTGGAGTCATTGTGTATGCCTGTAATTTCAATGCTCTGGAGGCTGAGGGAGGAGGATCATGGTTAAAAAACTAGCATGCAATTCATAGAGATATTGTATCTCAATCCGTTTTAAAAAATAGTTCTATTCCTACTACTTTCCTCCAAGTTGCACACATGCCTTTTATGGGCTTGAAACACTATACAATAGTGATTCTTAATAATTTGTAACTTGTGAGCACTATATGAACTATTTTATAACCTTTCATAATCATGTTTTATCATTTAATGTTAATTCTAATATTTACTACAATATTATATATTTTTAAAAAATTTAAATGTGTGACCTTTTGTAGAACAATTTGCTTGTTGGATTCATTAATTTTATTTAAGCAAATGTATAAGTTAGTACTACATTTTCCCTAGTGGAATTGTTTCATTCCATAGAGCTTTGGAGGAAGATATTAAACAAAAATATATTTCATAGGAAATATAATATTGTGTTATTATTTAATTTGTTGTATATCATATATATCATTTTCACCTACATAAAAGTATTATATACTTGTATATCGACAATACTGTTTTTATATCCAATGGTGTGATTACTTGGTTATTCGATTTACTAGTTTGATGATGACGATATTATTTTCTATGACAATGATAAT